AAAAAAAAAAAAAAAAAAAAAAAAAAAATGTCTCCATTCACATGCACTGTCTACCATGTTTTGAGCCAGGAAGCTTAGGCATGTTTGAGATGTTAAATGGGTGTCTTTTTATATAGAGAGAAAAGTTCAGAAAGGCAAAAGAATAGTAAAAAACAATTTTGTAAAATAGTATGCAGTGAGCCAAAGTGTAGTGGTCATTGTTTGAGATGTGTGCATTTTGTGCAGTTCTGCAAGGCACAGTTCAGCTGGGTGCAATTTTCTTTGTTCACTTTGTGTTTCTTACAGATGAAATTGTGCAAAAGCAAACACAAAATTTGCATTGTGCTCCAATTTCTCTCCAATATATCAGTTGCATTGGAACAGATTTACATTTTAAACACAAGCATTGGCAGAACTGACTTTACTTGTATTGTACCTTTATAATTTCTGCCAGAGCTGAGTACTCCCTGAAGTGATTTTTTGGAGTTCTCCTGAAAAGAATGCAGTGTGACACCTGTCAGTATTACCTGCGTTAGCCTTGTCCTAGGCTATATCTGTGAAAATATGCTTTCATGTGATATAGTAGTTCTCTTCCAGTAATTAATCTTTAAAAATTCTATTTCATTTAATCTGAATCACCGTTCATTTAAAAATGTGCCATTATTTTATACATTACAGTATTTAACATTATTTTATATGTTGTATATATATTTAGGAGACAAATCAACATTTGTCTGTATCTGGTACCACCCAATAAAGTGTGTGCCACACTTTGCATTGACCTGGAACATAAAACTGGAAGCTAAACCTAGTATATTTTCCTTATATCTTCTGGGTACCCGGAGTCATGTTTGACAGCTTCTCTGCTTTTCTGACTCATGGTTTGCTTTGGTTCACAATTTTCTTATTATAAGTCTTTTAGAAGTGGTGAGGTTTGAGATTGCTGTTGATAGACAAGTGTTCAAGATGTATTTTCCCTTCATTATAGGCTGGGGTGTCATAGAAAGTTTACCGATTTGCTAGAGTGGACACTGGAGTACTCTAGACCAGTCATATACTCTTTCTTCACTGTCTTTGCCATGAAACTTTATAACCTGGCTTTTCAGGTGTTGCATCTGGTGTCCTGTCAGCCTGTGCTTAGAGAGCACGTGGCAGCAATTAGCATATGAGGCGCAGAGGTAGGGCAAGCTCCCCTTATGATATTTGAGCTATCAGCTGACTCAAGTCTCTCTCCCTTCTCTGCTTATTCTCACACTCCCTCTCCCAACCATTGTCTTGACTTCCCTGGCCAGGATGCCTGCCATATTAGATGGGGAGGAGGCAGTTTCTAAATGGCTTGACTTTGGTGAAGTCTCAACTCGGGAAGCTCTGAAATTAATCCACCCAACAGAGAACATCACCTTCCATCCAGTCTCTTCTGTGGTGAACAACTCACGAAACAACTCTCCTGAGTGTCTGGCTCCTGTTAACTTGGTGGTCAAAAAGGTAGGGGCCTGTGACTGGTACAGTCCTTTTTGAGCTTTCTGTCTTCTGTCAGTATGCCCTTTCTTTTAGGATGTGGCCTTTTATGATCATCCCTTTAATTTGGACCATCAAAAGCTCTCATACTCCTTGTACACAGCAAGGTAGTATAGAGCAGCGATTCTCAAACCTAGCTGTGACTCAGAGTCCCCAGGAGGAGAACTCTTTCAAAATGTAAATGCTGGACCCTATCCAGACATTCTGAATCAACAGTTAGAGCTAGACTTGGGCTTCTGTATAATTTAGAAGCTTCAACTGGGTGCAGTGGCTCATGCCTGTAATCCCAGCACTTAGAAGGCAGAGGTGCGAGGGTAGCTTTACCCCAAGAGTTCAGACCTGCCTGGGCAATGTAGTGAGACCCCATTCTCCACAAAAAGGGGGGGAAAACAAAAAAGCTTCTTTGGTGAGGCTGATAAACCAAGTTTGAGGACTCCTAATCTAGACAGTGATTGTGAGAAAGACAGAGGAGCCCTTGACCATATTATGGCTCCATCCCCAACTGATTTTTGGTGTCACTTTTCTGTATCTTTGCTTTCCCAACTACTAGTTGGAGGAGGTCCAGTCCTTAGTTTCCTTCGGGAAGACTTGACAGCATTCCTACCATGAACCTTAACTTAGAATTAGCAAGGATCCAGAGGGTGTATTCTAGGGAGGGAAGGCAAACAAGCAGGCTTGCAGTGGGAAGAGAAGTTCCAGAGCAAAAAGCTGGCCCCCACTGACATTTGAGGGTAAGGGTTTAGGAGTAGTGATTGTTGTTAGGTGGCATAGAGGAACTTGAAGTAGGACATACTTGGAATCTTCCAAGAATAGACATTTTAGAATGCTGTGTTAAGGATGATTGCAAGAACAGCTGCTCCCCCTCTCAAGTTTTTTCCATACCCACAGTCAGTGTCATCTTTTTTTCTTTTGTCTTGATTCTGATAAACTCCTGCAATGGTGGCACTTTTTAAAAATTAGATAACTCTAAAACTAATTATATATACAGTTGAATATTCCTTATCCAAAATGCTTGGGACCAGAAGTGTTTTAGATTTTTGATTTTTTCAAATTTTGGAAGATTTGCGTTATATACTTCCTAGTTGAGTATCCCAAATCAGCATTTCCTTTCAGAATCATGTAAGCACTCAAAAAGTTTAGGATTTTGGAGCATTTTGGATCTTGGATTTTCAGAGTTAGGATGCTCAACCTATATTCATTTCGGACTAGACACTGCCTCATTTCTACCATGGTCTTTTTTTTTTTTTTTAAGAGATGGGGTCATGCTCTGTCGCTCAGGCTAGACTGCAGTGGCATGATCATAGTTCATTGTAGCCTCAAACTCCTGGGCTCAAATGATCCTCCCACCTCAGCCTCCCAGGTAGCTGGGACTACAAGCGTGTACCACCATGCCCTGCTCTTTTTTTTTTTTTTTTTTTTTTTTTAAATAGAGATAGGGTCTTCCTATGTTTTCTAGGCTGGTCTCAAACTCCTGGGCTCAAGCAGTCCTCCCACCTCAGCCTCCCAAAATGCTGGATTACAGGCATGCACCACTCCACCTAGCCCTGCCATGGTATTTACTACAAAAGATGTCACATTCTGGAGAGGTGGCATTGTGCTAATTCAGAACCTTTTGGTTCAGGACTGGAGTGTGATATACAGGAAGCAGACGGGAGTAGTGACGGTCAAAAGATTGTCCAGATTGTCTGCACAAAGAGGAAACGATTTAGCCTCATCACAGTGGCTGCTGGAAGTTCTTCCATATTGCTCCAGTCTCATTTTCCAACATTCCCCCCGGGTCATGCTGAATTACATTCTTTTCCCGGAGAATGCTTCATTCTCTGCACATTTGGAATGCCTTTCAGCGTCATCTCTGTCTGGTCCCACACACTCCTCTGTGAAACCTTCTCTAAGAGCTACTTTCCTGCCCTTTAGAACACACTCCTCTCTTCCCACTCTTGACTGGTGGGCCCCAGCTGGCCCTTAATAACGTTTTCCAAGCCTGGGTCAGTACCTAATGGCTCTTCCCCTGTTTCTTCCCTTGGACTTCACCTTTTCCCAAAAACTTGAGCTGAATGGTTTGAGCTTTTTTTCCTCCTTCTCCTAGGAGCTCAAGGCAAGTGGCAGTAGCCAGAGGATGTTGCAGTGGCTGGCCACAAAGTCACCCAAAAAGGAAGACTCAAAAACACCCCAAAAGGAAGAGTCAGATGTTCCCCAGTGGTCCAGCCAGTTCCTGCAGAAGAGTTCACTCCCCACCAAGAGAGGCACTGCAGGACTCCTAGAGCAATGGCTGAAGCGAGAGAAGGAGGAACCTGTGGCCAAGCGTCCTTACAGCCAGTGACACAGGACTTTCAGAGACCAAGACCAGGGTCTGCTGCACTGCTGTTCTGATAATAGGTTCTTAAATTGTATGTGTGTAGTTTGCTTTGGGAGGAGGTAGCTTAGTATTAGTTGACAGTTGTGGGCTCATGGGAAAGTCGGCTTCCTTGCCATGAGTAGGAGCCCCTAGTGGGGCTGGTGGACAGCTTTGGAAGAGGTGTCATGCTTCTGTCACCAGCCATGTGGGCCCCATAGGGGCACCGTACCTGCTGCTCTTTCCTGGCAGGGCTGGTGGAGTCTTCCCTTAAACCATGCCTTACCCAGCTGGGAAGTCTCTGCCCTGACCTGGTATTCCTCATAGTAAGCTGTTTTCTGCTCAGCCACTGGGCTCTTTCTGTCTTGGGTACGTTCTTAAAATGTGTTTTTTTTTTTTTTCCTGAATAAATTATATTTGATGAACTTCTGCCTACATTTTGGAAAATGATGCTGGTGGGGAAATTTCTGGATCTTGTTTTTCTTCTAGAATATGTCCTCAGGAATGGATTTTATCACAAATGGGGCATGGGGCTTTCTGAGGAAATAACTACAAAAAGTCTTGGTGGCAGGCTCCTTATTTAGTCTCTTTTTCTTTCACTCTTGATGCATGGAAGTTGTCTGAATCCTTTGGCTTAAAACCAGCCTGAGTGGAGTGCTTGCCATAGCAGAGCCTGTCCGTACCGCAGGGAGCATCAGATCTAGGTGAGAAGCCTCTGGAAATACTCCTGACTTCTGGTAAGAGCAGGGCACAGAAGATGACATGGGCTTGGGGGCTTCATTCCGAGGGCCTGGAACTAAGGCTGTTCTGGGGCTGAACACCTGCCCCAGCCTGGGCCAGAGCTCCTATGATTTGTTCTGCCAGCTTTCCTTGCCTTTCCTTCCTAGCAATGAATCACTTTATAAATTAAGTATTTATTTTGGGGCCTTTTTCTGTTGTCTGTCTCCCCACCCAGATCATTAGTTCCATGAAAGCAGAGACCACTTTTTCACCATTATTTTCTCCCAATATTAGTAGGTGTGCAAATACATGTCCAGTGAATTTGCACTTACCCATGCCCAGCCCTGTGCAAAGAACTGACAGGTACTAATTAACCAGACAGCACACCTTGCAATTAACTACTTGCACGTGTATGCTTGGAAGGGCTGTGACCAATGGAGAGAGCTCCTTTGGTAGATGGGGGTGTTAGGCTAGGCTTCTCTCTCCTGTAAACCCTGGGGAAGACAAGGTGGAAGGGGGCCTTCCCAGGTATTAAGGTGGGAAGGAAAGGACCAGTCTCCAGCAGCGTCTGGGTCAGTCCTCTTTCCAGCATCCAGAAGGGAGGCATTCACAAAAGCTGTCCCAAGCAGCTGGAAGGAAGCAGCTTCCCAGAGAAGACCAGGAAGACGGCAGTGCCGAGCCCAGAAAGCTCCTGGCGCAGCGCATGCCGCCGATTGCGATTGCGATCGAGGGGTTGGTTGGGGGATGCAGGCCCCAGTCTCTATGCAAATCAGGGATCAGAAGATCGGAATTTCCACCAATCAGCGGAAAGCCTTGGCCGTGTAACTGTTAATAGGAGACTGCAGTGCCACGCCACAGGCCTTTCTGCTGGTTTCGGGAAGGGTGGGGACCAACGTGGGGCTCCCACCCCGACCCCTGCCCAAGGCCGCCGTCCCCTCCTTTTTTTTAAATTCCTCTTTTGAATGCCCTCCCTTCCGGTTGAGAGGCGGGGTTAGCCCGTATACTGTCTGTAACCCTGCGCTGTGAAGGCGGGGGCTTCTTTCACTGTGGCCTCCCTTTGTGGGCGGATCTGTGTGGGATTTGGTTGTTTTGTTAAGAGATTTTAAAAATTAAGATGACTTACTGGTATGACTATTTTGTCATATTTGCTTCCAGTTTAATAACAAAAATGAAATTCCCTTTGTTTTTCATTATCATCTCCCCACTGTTTCTCATGGTTGCAAATTATTTTGCTGACGTCTTCTCATTTTAACAGGAAAGAATATAATGCCTGCAGGGGCATGTTTCCTTTTCATTCAGGTTTTTATACTTTCATATAAATGTGATGTTAGAAGTAAATCCTGGCCTGGCGCGGTGACTCACATTTGTAATACTAGCACTTTGGGAAGCCGAGGCGGATGGATCACCTGAGGCCAGGCGTTCAGGACCAGCGTGGTCAACATGGTGAAACCCTGTCTACTAAAATTCAGAAATTAGCCAGGCATGATGGCAGGTGCCTGTAATCCCAGCTATTCGGGAGACTGGTTTGAACCCAGGAGATGGTGGTTGCAGTGAGCCCAGATCGCACCACTGCACTCCAGCCTGTGTGGCTGAGTTAGACTCTGTCTCAGAAAAAAAAAAAAAAAGCAGCAGCAAATCCTTATGTCTGAGAGCATACAGTACCATTTTATGAGTTTCAGGTTTACATAAATGCTATCATCTTGGTTTTTCTTAAGTTATCAGCTTTACTAAGTATTGCCAAATTGGTCTCCAAATTTTCATGTATTTCAGGTACATAAGAATGTTCATTAAGCCGGGCGCGGTGTCTCACGCCTGTAATCCTAGCACTTTGGGAGGCTGAGGTGGGTGGATCACCTGAGGTCAGGAGTTCAAAACCAGCCTGGCCATCATGGTGAAGTGAAACCCCACTTTAAAAAAAAAGAAAAGTAAATTAATTTTTAAAAAAAAGAATCTTCATTTTCCCACCTTGCCAACATTTAATCCTGTTTACTAGAGCAACGCAGCATCTTTCCCTGTCTTTCATTCTTAGTCAAATCTCAGGGACCAAACGGTAGCTCCCACCTGCCTGTCTGGGTGTGCCTAGGTGGAGCCAAGCCCCCTTACCATTCTCTGGAGCAGGTGGGGGCAGGCCTAGGATGTGGTCATCTGGCCCCTCTGCTTGGCTCCCAGATATAGCCCTTCCCACCTCCCTCCCTTTCACCTCTAGCAGTGACCCGGCTTGGCTCCAAGCCTTAAGGGTATGCTTCCCTGCACTGTAGCCTTCCAGGAGGCAGAGGGTCCCTGGGACTTCTGGTTCTGATGGATACAGGTGTCTGCCCCTCAGTCCTATCTGCAGTCCATCTTGATCCATTGTCTCATGCAAGGCTTATATGCCTAAAGCTGAACCTGCTTTGTGTGGAGGTGGAAGCAGACCCAGGCAAGGGCATATGCTGTGACATAGCAAAGTTAAGGACAACTCCAAGGGACTCCTGGCTTGGGAGGGGCATATCAGCTTGGGGAAGTTGGATGAGATCTTGCTCATTGCCCAGAAGGACTCGGAGAGTGGGTGTTGGGGGCAGGGGGGAACCAAAGGCAGTACGGGAGGCCTCAGACTCCTAGATTCCTTCCTGGGCCTGTAGGAACTCCCCCTTCTTACCTGGGCCTCTTTCTTAGCGAGAGTGAGGAGTAAGTGATGGGAAGGGTTGAACCTCATTCCCTGGGGATAGGAGCTGTCGCTCAGGCTCCTCTGAGGACCCTCTGGGTCCTCAGACATACAAAACTTTTTTTTTTTTTCAAGACAGCGTCTTGCTCTGTCACCCAGGCTGGAGTGCAGTGGTGTGGTCTTGGCTCACCGCAACCTCTGCCTCCTGGGCTCAAGTGATTCTCCCACCTCAACCTCCCAAGTAGCTGGGACTACAGGCGCACACCACCACATCCGGCTAATTTTCATATTTTTTATAGAGATGGGGGTCTCACTGTTTTGCCCAGACTGATCTTGAACTCCTGGGCTCAAGCGATCCTCCCGCCTCAGCCTCCCAAAGTGCTAGGATTAAAGGTGTGAACCATGGCACTACCCAACACCCTCATTCTACCACAGAAAGTTGTAAAAGGCAGTCTTTCACAGTCCCTAACCAAGGCAGCCAGAAGAAGGATAGGGGTTGGGAGAGGCAAGAAGAGGTGGGCAAGAAAAGGAGCCTCTGGGAGGGCATATTTATAGGGTGCACTGGGCAAGGCTCTGGTGTCCAAATGACAACCGTCTACGGAGAGGTTGTTACCCAGGTGTAGACGCTCAGCACTAGCAGGTAAGTCTCTGGCTTTTACCAGCTTATGGCTTCCTTTGGTTCAGTCTCCTTCAGGACACCACCATTTGGGGCTTCTTGTGAAGTGGCCAGAAGAGCCCTCATAGAAGATCCAGTTGAGAAATCTCAAAGTTGGGGAACTTCAGGCCACATTTAGCTCACACAGTGATTTTGTTTGACCCATACAGTATTTATTTATTTTTAAATTCTGATAAAATGCACATAAAATTTGCTATCTTAGCCTTTTTTTATTTTATTTATTTATTTTTTTAAGACAGAGGACTCACTCTGTCCCCAAGGCTGGAGTGCAGTGGCTCATTCTCAACTCGCTGCAACCTCCGCCTTCCAAGTTCAAGTGATTCTCCTGCCTCAGCCTCCTGAGTAGCTGGGACCATGCCCAGATAATTTTTGTATTTTTAGTAGAGATGGGGTTTTGCCGTGTTGGCCAGGCTGGTCTCAAACTCCTGAGCTCAGGTGATCCGCCTGCCTCAGCCTCCCAAAGTGCTGGAATTACAAGCGTGAGCCACTGTGCCCTGCCAAACATTTAAAAATATACATTCAATACTGTTAATCGTATTCACACTGTTGTGCAACCAGTCTCTGAAACATTTTCATCTTACAAAAGTAGAAGTTAAACAACTCCCCATATTTTCCTCCCCTCAGCTCTTGATAACCACCATTCTACTTTCTATCCCTGTGAATTTGACTACTCTAGATACCTTATTTAAGTGGAATCATGCAGTGTTTGTCTTTTGTCACTGGCTATTTTCACTCAGCATAATGTTCCCAAGGTTCATCCCTGTTGTAGCATGGGTAAGAATTTCCTTCCTTTTTAAGGCCAAATAATATTCCATTGTATGAGTAGATCACATATTTGAAAATCTACTCATCTGTCAGTGGACACTTGAGCTGCTTCCACCTCTTGGCTATTGTGAATAGTGCTACTGTGAACATGGATGTGCTCTTCTCATCACTACTTTCCATTCCTTTGAGTATTTACCCACAAGTGGAATTGCTGGATTGCACAGTAATTATGTTTAATTTTTGGAGAAACTGCCATACTGTTTTCCATAGCACTTGGACCATTTTACATTCCTTAAAACCGTATAAAAGTGTTCCAACTTCCCCCCACATCTTTGCCAACGCTTGCTATGTTCTGTGTTTTTGTTTTTTTTTTTTCTTTTTGAGACAGGGTCCGTCCGGCTCTGTTGCCCGGGTTGGAGTGCAGTGGCGTAATCTTGGCTCACCGCAGCCTCCGCCTACTGGGCTCAAGCGCTTTTCCCACCTCAGCCTCCTGAGTAGCTGGAATTACAGGTACACACCACCATGCCCGGCTAAGTTTTGTATTTTTTGTAGAGATGGTCTCGTTATGTTGCCTAGGCTGGTCTTGAACTCCTGGGCTCTAGTGATCCTCCTACATTGGCCTTGATTATAAGTCACCATGCCCAGCCCTGTTTTTTGATAGTAGCCATTCTAATGGGTATGAGGTATTTGTTTTTTAAGCCCATATTTTAAAAGAATGGGAAATTTCAGAAAATAGTTTCCACTTTGAAAAATTTGGGGGAGGTGCCTCGGACAACCAGGCCCCATGTAGGACCACTGGTACACTGAGGTAACCTCCCCAAACCTCCCTGGATGGCCAGACCACTCCCAACCTCCTTGCAAATTTTCAGGAGGTGCTTCTTCCAACATTATTTGGAAAACTGGGAAGCTCTGAAAAGAGTCGGTAAGACCCGGGTAGTCACTGCCCCTCTTCAGGTGGAGTCTGTATCTTCCAGTTGGCCAGAATGCTCTACCTGGTCTGGAGCCCTCACCACCCACCACACCCATTTTTAATTGTGGAATTGGGAGGGCTTTGTAACATGCCAACTTGGCCCAGCTGAACCATATTTTCTGGAACTCCCTGACTGGTATGTTTTCCATTAGAGTGGGCCAGGAGGCAGATTCTCACCAGATTTGGAAGGAAGCAACCATTTGGATTGCTGATCTGCTGACTCACCTGATTGGCATGAAGCAGCACCTGGACGTGCAATTGCTATACTTTCCCTGGACTTTCCTTCAATTTTCCTGACTCCTGGGCCAGGTGTATGCATGTTTAGCTCTGTGACTAAGGGTCCCAGCTTCTATCTTCATCAGTGAGGTCAGAGGCAACAAGAATAGACACAGGTTTCAGTCTGTCCTCATGGGTCCCCTCTGTGGTAGTCGGGTTTCAGTATGCTCATGTGCTCATGGTCTTTCTCTCCTAACCACCTGCCTGTGGACTTCAAGCCCCATCAGTCCTGGAGATACAAGCCTTAAAGAAACTGCTTAATCAGCCCCTACAGTTGTGCAAACCAGTTCCCTGGTTTTCCTTCTTCATTGAGTTGACGTGGGAACCTGAAGCCCTGCTGACTTCTCTGGCCTCATGCCTTGTCACATCTCCCTCGCTGCTTTTACACCTTTCACCATTCCCCAAAACCAGCGGCCTGTGCTACTGTGGGGTTTCCAGTCTGGAATGTCCCTACCAGGAACCTGCTGGTTTATCTGTCCTTCTGCAAGTGGCTGAGTCCCATCACTGCCTCTGCTCCCATTCACCCCCAGCCTGGCACAGTCCAAGAGAAGGGGACCCAGCCAGGAGGTGTTGAATGAATGACTGTGGACTAAGCCTTTGGCATATGAGATGTTTTGTTCTCCTATACCTCTGCAAGTATCACCACCCCCAGCTTGCAAGTGTAAGTAGCCCTAACAGCAGTTGCTATGGGAAGAACCAGGACCTCTTTCCCTCCCCATAACTGGTGGAGCTGTTGGAAGAGCTAATATGCCCTGGGCCACATCACCCAAGATCTGATGACTGGGACAGTGAGATGGTAGCACCCCTTGTGCTAGGAGCTCAGACCCTCCGCAAC